GAGGTTAACATTCTGTTCTGCCTATTTTTTTTTTTTACCCCACCCTCTGTTTGCCCACAAGCTTTATTGCTCAGTAGCTGAATGGGCAAGGGCAAGCTTGTCTCTGAAAAGTGGGAGTGATGATCCCATGGCAGTACTGGGGGGATAACCAGGAGGTAAGCACTTACATCACCATTTCCATTTAACAGGAGAGGAAACTGAGGCACAGAGCAGTTCCAAAGCTTGACCAAGGGCTCAGGTAGCAAGTGGCAGAGCTAGGATGCAAAGTCAGGCCATGGGCTCCAGAGTCCATATTCTTAACCACCCCACTAGCTGCTTCTGGGTGTTGGATGGGCAAGCATTTTATAACTTGTCAAAAAACTCAGTGCACCCCTGAAGGATAGTTTTAATTCTGGGAAGGCATAAACTAAGCACTCTGCCCCAGGTCAGAGCAGCCCTGGTGCCCCCCATCCCAGGCAAGCACTGGCAGAGCAGAACTCTACCCTGGAGTCCCAGGACCTTTGTTCCAGATAACTAGAGAGGCCTATAGCTGATGCCTTTCACCCTGCTGCCCCTTCCTCCTCTAGGGGGGCTAGTGCCAGGATTAAGAACAGATTTGGGGTGCACCTGGGTGGCTCAGTTGGTTGAGCATCCAACTCTTGATTCAGCTTACTCACGATCTGAGGGTTGTGAGATTGAGCCCTGCATGGGGCTCGTGCTAAGCATGGAGCCTGCTTAAGATTCTCTCCCTCTGCACCCCCCAGGCTTGCATGCACGCTCCTCTCTCTCTCTTAAAGAAAAAAAAAAAAAAAAGAACAGATGCTGAAGCCAGGCTATGTGACTTTGGATCTGGCTCTACCTTACTTACAAAATGGGTGGCAGCTATTAAATAGTGTTTGTATGAATGAGTTAGTACATGGTGAGTGCAATGCTTGGCACATAGTAAGTGCTAAGTAAATGTCAGCTATAATTGATAACTATTCCCTCACCTTATCAGCTCTATACTTTCCTCCCACCCCAAGGTTCTCAAACATCCTGTTTCTTTGGTTTTAGGTCAAATCCCACCTTAGATTTAGAAGTATAATCTTATCTTCTGAGTGCAAAGCTGATCCAAAAGTGGAAGCAATAGGAAATTTCAGGCATCACAGCAGGCTCTTGGAAAGTCTTTTGGGGACCAGAACTCTCCTGGGAACTCTAACTTTGCCCAGGTGAGTAGCTTTTTACTACACCTGTCTCTGAAGTCTGGCAGGAAGATGGGGGGTTGTGGCAACACCCATTTCTTGTGGAGATGGAGAAGGAGCTCTGATGGCTTTTTGCTTCTCTTTCCCCCTCTTACAGTTCTGTCTCCTCACTCATTCCAGGCCCCACATATCCCCTCTCCTCTTCTTCCTCTTGGGACTCAGTGACTTGGACTGATGGTAGGAAAGCAATTGAATTTCATGCAAGGTTGCTGGCCCACTGGGTCTACACAGCAAACCCCTATTTTCCATCTCTGGGGCCAGAGCCAGCACAGGAGAAGGAGCAGCCTCAAGGCTGAAGCTTGGCTGGTGTTAGGACTCGTGGGTCCTGTCCTGGCTGGCTCCTGGCAAAAGGAGTAACTGGAAGTGAGACATGGTGAGGAGGCTGGGCTGGTGGGGACAGAGATGGGGAGCTAGAATCAGAGCACCTCCCTAGGGCCTGGGACTCAGTCTGTGAGAAGAGATGTCAGGCCTGGGCAGGGACTCCTCCATGACTGAGCTCTTGCTCTCTCCCAGGCCAAGTTCCCCCAACCAAGCTTCATTGCCTAGCAGTGTTAAATTTACAAGGAGCTCTGATAGGTATAATCCTACTCAGCCTTCAAGAAAGCCCTGTAAATTGGTGACTGCACTTATGCTCAATGACCAAGGACTTGAAAACAGTCTTAGAACAGTTGTCATTCATGCAGCTGTTTAGCAAATATTTATTGGCGCTTCTGGGTGGCTCAGTGGGTTAAGCGTCCGACTCTTGGTTTTAGCTCAGGTCATGATCTCATGATCTTGAGATGGAGCCCTGCTTTGGGCCCTGTGCTCAGGGCGGAGTCTGCTTAGGGATTCTCTGTCTCTGCCCCACTCCCCTACCCCCCCCACCTCACACCCTAGCATGCATGCTGTCTCTCAAATAAATAAATAATCTTAAAAAACAACAACAACAACAAAAACATTTATTAAGTGCTCTCTGTATGCCAGGAAATAAATTTGGCTTTCCTGATTCAAGGTCTTTCCACATATTTGCTTCAATATGTTGATTCCTGATTGCCTCTCCTCCTAAATTTGCCTCCCAAATACTCCCCTTCTGCTGTGGTTTTGAAATATCTACAAATTTTTTGACACTGCTCCCTTCAAGAAGTAGAACCTAATTCCTCTTCAGAGGAAGATGGACTACAAAATGTATTGTGGCTTCCTGCTCGTTTTCTCTTTCTCTCTTTCTCATCACTTGCTCTGGGGGAAGCCCACTCTTATGTCATGAACACATCTATGGAAACATCCAATGTGATAAGGAACTGAGGCCTCTAACCAACATGTGAGTAAGAAGGGGAGCAGATCCGCCAGACCCAGCCAACATCTTGGCTGCACCCTCAGGAAAGGCCCTGAGCTAGAACCACCCTTATAAGCTGCTCTTGGGTCTGTAGCTCTCAGAAACTGTAAGATACGAATTTTTTGTTTCAACCTGCTGAGTTTGGGGGATAATTTTTTATGCAGCAATAGATAACCAATATATCTTCCCCACTGTAGGAACCCCTGCTCTCCCCAAAATCAACTCATACTTTTAATAGGCAGCTCAAATCATTTGAGGGACTGCTGCTCCAGCCCAGCCACCCTACCACCTCCTCTGAGAGTGAAAGGAGTCTAAGCTGCCACTAACTAGTCCCTAACATACCGGGAAAATTGCTCTTGCCAAGGCTTTGCCCATTTTCCTTTCCTTTCACCAGCTTTCTTTCCCCCTCACCTCCCTTCAAAATCTTTTAAAATCTCCAATAATATGTGAAAAATATTAGCCAACATTTCCTGAGAATTTGCCAGCCAAGTTTCTAAGACTGCTATGTGTCTCACAACCAGTTTAGGAGACCGGTTCCTCTGTCAGCCCCATTTCACAGCTGAGAAAACCAAGGCACAGGAACTAAGTAAATTGCCCAAGGTCACATAGAAGCGAAAAGGCGGTAATAAAACTCAGGCTCCAAGGTCAGTACCTCATGTACACAGGCTGTTCCAAGGCTCTGTGCTTAATTCTGTATTCAGTAGTTCTTTTCTTAAAGAGGCTCACAAAAACTGGATGCTGCCTCAGAGGTAACAGATGCAGTATGCTCTTTTCTTAAAGATATTTTAAAAATACATTTACATCTACAAACGCACACATATGGAAATAGATCCTCCCCCCACCCGCGCGCCTTAAGGAAAAAAAAAAAACAAACGTGTGGCCCTACCCAGCTCTTTTAACAGAAAGCCTTGACTGTCTTTCCACGTTTCTAACCGTCGCGGGGTCTGCGCCACCCAGACGCAAATGTACTTGCCCACCTTCCCAGGGTCGAGCCCTCTACTCCCCTCCCAACCGCGTTCGCCCCTTCTCCGGGGTTCCTCGCCGCCTCCCCGCCCTTCTCCCTTCGCCCCCCTCCTTGTCCCTGTTTGCTCTCTCACCTCGCCCCTCCCCTCCCCCGCGCGTATCCTCGCTCCCCAATCCTAGCTGCCTGCGCATTTCTCCCTCCTTCCTGCCTCGCCCCGGTACATCACCGCCCACCCGTTTTTTCACCCCCACTAGCCCCTCTTCCGCCCCCGCTTCCTCCCGGCCAATCTCCTCATCCTTACTCACAGTTGCCCCACTCCTCGAACCTTCCCGCCCTCCCTCTACCCCCACTGCCCAGCTGGAGCGCACAGCCGGCACGCTGGGACGCGCGCTGACAGGGTAATGAATGGCTTCAGCGGTAATTAGCGACCCGGCGGCTAATCACGATGTATATTTACATTTTAAGTGCTGCAGAGGGCGCGGGGAAGGGGAGGGGGGCCCGGAGGGAATGCGGGCCTTTTCCGCGCTCTCCCTTCCCTGGGGAGCGAAGTGAATCCGAGTGTTCTACAGCTGGAGGTAGGAGAAGGGGGGGGGCTTCGAGAGCCAACCCAGGCGGCCGCACAACAGCCGCGTGCTAACCGGACGCAAACCGGGAGTTCCCAGGCCCCTTCCACCAAATTGCATACCCGGCCTATATCCCCGCCAAGTGAAGGTTCGGCCTAGGCTTGCATACTCCTGCTGATGGAGAGCTCGCTTCTTCCCTAACCAACCCGTTCTAACATAGATCCCACCCGCTCCAGGACTTTTTCCCAGGCCTAGCCGAAACCGCTGCCCTTTAAGTCCCACAACTACCTCGGTCTTACAGAATGTGAGGTTCCCTGCGCCCCGCCACGCGCTGCAGTCAGTCTTTGTGTTCTCTCAAGGCCGCTGTGCCTCCGCTACTGTGGCTGTTCCTCGTGAGGCCCGCGGGAGCTGGGGCCGAGCCGAAGTCCCGGCTCCAAGCGGAGCACGACCCCGAGGGCCCCTGAGCCTAGCGTGCGGGCAGGAGATCCCGGACCGAGTCGGTCACTCAGACGTTGGGGCGCAAAGTCCACCAGCTCCTCCCAAAGGGCGGTAATGGGGTTAGCTGGGGTTCTGAACAGCAGGGGCCGAGAGCTAGGACAAACAAGATGCCGAGGAGGCGACAACAGCTGGGAGAAGGGAGAGGGGCACCCCGGCAGCCCCGTCTTAGGACTGGGACCCAGCTCCCCCCAGGCCCTGTCAGGCCGCCCGCACTTTCAGGTTTCCCGCGCGCTGCAGCTCTCCCTGCACCTCCCCGCCCCGCCCCGCCCGGTGCTAGGCACCCCCACCCGGATCACCTCTGCACCGCTCCCTCTGTCTGACCGTGCGCTTGCGCGAGGGGCGTGGAAGGGTGAAGGGCGAAGCCCTAGGGCAGTTCTGGGAGGGTCCAGCTCCTTCTAACTTCTCTCCCATCATCAGCCCTTCAACCCCAGCCTCACCCTCACCGTCCACCTCTCTCCGCAGGATGTCCGGGCCACTCTCCCAGTCCGGTGGCGTTCCCAGTAGCTTCATAACGCCCCCGAGGCTTCAATTTACCAACCTTCCTCCCTTCTCCCCCTCAGAACCTGCCTTCATCCAGCCTCCTTTTTGAAAAAGGACCCCACTGGGTCTCAGGGGGCCAAGGCTGACTGACAACGAGTTCCACCTGGGAAGAAGGGGGATCCGCGTTACCAGGGGACAGTACCTGGCTTACCCTAAAGCATGCAGCTCTAATAGTGGCCGCTCCATGGGTGGAGGGAGCTTAACTCCCCTTGGGAAGGGCTCTCCTTGTTCTCTTTCCATTCGCCTCAGGGACAGCCTGGCCCAGGTGTGTACGGGGGTCCGGGAGCCTCCAGCTCCGGTCAGGCGCGGCGAGCTGAGGCCTCAGTCTCCCGCCGCCCTGCGAGGACCACGCCGCGACGTAGTCGTCCGAGGGCAGCGCGGAGCGCAGCGGCAGCCAGCGCCTCCGCACTCTGCTGACCGTGCACAGGCTGTCCTTGAGGCGAGAAGAGCGGCTCGGGCGCGGGAGGGACGGAGTGGGAGGGTTCCCCTGAGGAGTGGGGGAAAGAGGCTCCAGCAGGCCTCTCGGAAAGCCCTCCTTGGGAGGGGACAAGGGGCGGCCTTCCGTTGGAACGCGCAAGGGCTCGGGGACCCGGCTTGAAGCAGCTTTTGCATCGCAAACACAGTTTTTATTTAGGTCGCCCGTTTATGAGGATTGGCTCAGGGAAGGCAGATAGCGATTATAGAGGAACTTCTCCCGGCAGGTCACCCCCTGTGCGCACCGCTCCCTTGCCCCTGTGTCTAGACTCGGGACTGGATCCTGGAGGCTGCCGAAGCTAGGGCGCGGGCAGGCCGAGCCGAGTTAGGGGCGGAGCCTGGCGGTAGGGGCGGGGGCTCCCAGGCTCCCAGGCGGGGCCTCCGCTAAAGGCGCGGAGCACCCGGCGCCGAGAGCGCTGCGTAGAGCAGCGCCCACTGGAGTGAAGTCGGAGCGGAGGATCGCGCCGTCCCAGCCGGCCAGCGTCCACGCCGCTCCCGCACCCTTACCCCTGCCCGCCCTTGCCAGGCGCGACCGGCGGCCATGCAGCCGCAGGGCTGAGGCGGCCCCATGCGAAGCCCGCGTCCCCGCGGTCCGGGCAACGACGGCGCATGGAGAACTTCCGTAAGGTGCGCTCCGAGGAGGCGCCGGTGGGGGGTGGGGCCGAGGGGGGCGGCCCGGGCTCCAGCCCCTTCGCGGACCTTGCGCCGGGCGCTGTGCACATGCGGGTCAAAGAGGGCAGCAAGATCCGGAACCTGCTGGCTTTCGCCACCGCCAGCATGGCGCAGCCAGCCACGCGCGCCATCGTCTTCAGCGGCTGCGGTCGGGCCACCACCAAAACCGTCACGTGCGCGGAGATCCTCAAGCGCCGCCTGGCGGGCCTGCATCAGGTCACGCGGCTGCGCTACCGGAGCGTGCGCGAAGTGTGGCAGAGCCTCCCGCCGGGGCCCACACCGGGTCAGGAGCCTGGCGAGCCGGCCGCCAGTCTCAGTGTACTTAAGAACGTGCCCAGCCTCGCCATCCTACTTTCCAAGGATGCACTGGATCCGTGCCAACCCGGTTACCAGCCCCCGAACTCCCATCCTGGACCCTCGTCCCAGCCAACTGCACCGACGTCCAAGAGGAGCCTAGGGGAACCCGCGGCTGGAGAAGGCTCTGCGAAGCGGTTACAGCCTGGGCCAAGCGCTGCGGAAGAGGAACGGATGGCCTGAGAGCTCGTGGGTCTGGGCCACGTAGACGCTCTGGATCTCACCCCCAGCGCCTCGACCTTGAGACACATCTCCAGCCTTTCACGCCTCGGTGCTCTGGACATAACTCCTCAGACGGTCAGCATGGACCCCAAGGCAACAAGAGAGTGACCCCAGGGAAGCTTCGTTCCACCACTTGTGTTGCCTGAAGACGCAGAACTCCACCTTCAGCTTTTCTGAGCCATACTGGAACCTTCTTCAGGGAGGGAGTGGTTGGCAGTAGGAGTCTTGAGCCTTGCTCAGGACCCCCAAGGGTTAAAGGCATCCAGTATTCATGAGGGGAGCACCCCCCCCCCGCTAGTGTGTAACCGGAGGAGAGCTCCTGGAATCACCTCCACCGTTGGCGGCTGAGGGCAAGGGGTGAGAAACAGACTGCTTGAAGGCAAGGGAGTCTGAGTTGGGGAGGGGGGTGTTCTATTCTGCCCCTCACCCCGGGAGACCACTTCCTTTCTAGTTTTCCTTATCGTGCTGTTAAGGAGCATCCTGAGATCGTGGTGCAGGGACAGTCCCCTTCCCCACTGGCCCAGAAGGAGAGACCCAGGACAGAACTCTCTTTGCCTTCTCCCCTGAGTCTCAGAGCTGGAGTCCTGCTTCCAATAAAACACACAAAAATGGCTCTGGCCCCAGGTTTCTTCCTTAGCACTTAACCTATGTGGAAACTGCTTTGGCCTGCCCCCTTGTGTCTCAGTCCCCTCCAGCCTGGAGTCCTTGGCCTTTGGAATCTTCAGGGTCAGGCACAGAGACTGGACAGCTTCAAACTGGAACCAGAGGCACATTGCCCAGTCCCTGGCTTCGTCTCCCAGCTTTCCCTGTCTGGCTCTGGCCTCCGGGGCTTGTGGCCAGAGGGGGCCTTTGTACCCTGGTGCATTACCACTGAGGGACAGGGAGGAGCACATTGCTTTAATGGGAGGGAAGGAAGGCAAGCACCAGTGAACTCTCCTGGGGGTCACTGCCAAGGGAGGCACACCCCACTGGGCTCCCTAAACCTGCAGCCTCCTGCCAATTGACAGCCGTATCCAGAAAGCTGGCACAAAACCCCTCATCATCCATAGGATCTCCCCTTCACTGCTCTCTCTCTCTCTCAGAAAGGACAGCACACCCTTGGGAGAGGGGGAGGAGAGAGATTGAGCACAAATCCACTGCTGGAAATTACTATTCAGCAGAGAAGCTGGAACTTGGGCTGTGAATCACTGCAGGCTCTCTGATAAGCTGCAGCCTCCGGCCCTGCACAGCTGTCTGTTGAGAGATAACAGCCTCATAAGCCTCTTTGTCCAAGTCAGCTGGGGCTGGGGGTGGGGGAGGAGTGCTGTGTGCTGGAAGGACTCTAGCGGGTAAGGGGGGGGGGCCAGGGGGGGCACCTAGCCCCAGGATCTCACCCTACCACGTGCAACTCAACAGCACCTCTGAAAGGAGATGGGAAAGAATGTAAGTCACTTTGCTAGCAGAACCCTGAAATAAATCCTTCCAGCGACAAGAGGTGAGTTTCGGCAGCTGACAGGAGGGGCTCTTTAGGGAGTTCTCCCCTACCCATATCCCCTTGAGCTTTGGATCAGTGAGCCCTGTCATCCAGACTCTGGCACTGTTTGCCCTCCCTAATTTCTTGTTCTTGATGAGTCCCAGCGAAGGGCCAAGGGGTTTATGTGTGCTTGTCCGACTCTCTCACGGGTGGTCCAAGAAGGTTGGAAAAAATGCACTATCCTTTTTAAAAAAAAAAAAAAAAAGATTTTATTTATTTATTTGACAGAGAGAGACCATGAGAGAGGAAACACGAGCAGGAGGAGTGGGAGAGGGAGAAGCAGGCTTCCCGCGGAGCAGGGAGCCGGCCGAGGGGCTCTGTCCCATGACCCATGCCAATCCCATGACCAGAGCCGAAGGCAGACGCTTAATAACTGTGCCACCCAGGCGCCAGAAAAACGCACTATCCTGACAGCTAAGGTGCCCTGGACTGGTCCTGGGCTTGTGCATCTGAAGCAAATGATAAAACTCGGAAGAGGTCCTGCATGGTAGATGCTTACAGAAGACTGATCTTGGTTCTGGAAAAGGGCCAACTTTCCAGAACCAGGATCTGAAGTCCTGATTGCCCTGTCAGCAGGACCATGCAAGCAGCAGCTTGTCAGGGGAGGCTGCAGAGGCTTTCTTTTCTTGATGGTAGGGAACAGATTAAGTCCCTTTCCTGCCTAGAAATTGATCCTGCAGTATGGGGAGGAGAAGGGCTTGTTTCCCCACCTTCAGAGCATTAACCTGCCCTGATGGGCTGAGCTTCCACCTCCCGTGCCAGAAGGCAGGTTATGAAACACTTTCCTTTCTGCACCCCCACTTCACCCCAGCAGGTTGAGTGCCCAGGTTTTTGATAGGTGCTCATGGTGCCAGTGGAATCCAGCACCCATGAGCACCCTACCCCTGCCTTACTGATCCTCTGGCCCTACTGACCCAGGAGCAGGCTCCAAAGGAAGGTGACCGATATCCCTATCCACCCCCACCCCCAAGACTGAGGTGGGAACCTGAGAAGTGTTGGAATAAGTGAGGTGGGGGGGGTGGCTACAGGAGCACCTCAGAGATGGCTCACTGACTACGGGCAGAATGGGAGGGAGTGGAAGCTGCTCTGTGAGACCCCATCATTCCAATAGTGACCTCTATCCAAGAGCTTTCTGGGCCCTGTCTTGGGGCACTTGCAGGCTAGGGGTGGCAGTGAAGGCTCACACTCACAAAATCGTCAGGTCACACAATCAAAATCCATTTGGGAATATAAATGTATATATAATCCAAGGCCGGAGCTCACGGTCAGATGGGCAGTGGATCTCTAGCGGGGCCATTGTTGTTGTGCCAGAACCTAGTCTAGGCACACGGTGGGGCAGGGTGGTGGGGGGTGGGAGATCACAGTAGAATCAGACATTGTTCCTGCTCAAGGATGTCCCAGTTAGTGGCAAGAAAGAAAAGAAAGTTACAACACAATGCAATGATAGTGGGAGAAGGTGAGAGCTCTGAGAAGGGGCACTTAATGTACCCAGAGGTGCTGATGGAGGTGGTTCCCCGAGGATCAGAAGCCAGCAGAACAGGACTGGACAGGCAGTTCCTGGCAGAGCGCAGAGAGGTGATGCTGTGCCTGGTGTTGCAGCAGCCACAAGCATCTGAAGGATACCTGGCGAGAAGCAGGTGGGGCTGGAGTACCCTGTTGGAGCCAGGTCCTGGGAGCCTCCCTGAAGTAAGTGGGAGGCCGGTCGGAGCCAGGGAGTGCCCCAGTCTGATTGGCATCTGTAAGTGTGTAAGTGGGCGATGGATTGGAAGGGGCCTGACTGGATCCCCGAGGACACAAGGAGGTAAGAGATGGTGTTACAGGATTTCTTTTTCTTTGGTGCCGGTGGTTCTTGGTCACGCCACTTCGAAGAATGAAGAGGTAGATCAGGCAGAGTGGTGGGCAGCAAAGCAGCTTTATTGAGAGACAGTACAAAGCTCCCAAAGAGGGACGGGACCCAAGAGGGTTGCCACTGGAGTTTCTAAGTCTAGGGGTTTTATGGGCTTGTTAGCGGGGGCTGTTTTCATCTGATGAACCTTCCCTGCGACTGTCATCCAATCAGGTTTTTGTCATCGACCTATCACATGGGAAAGGGTGGAGGGCTCCTTCCAGGGTGATGTAAGATCCTTTCAAGGATGGTTTCCTCTTGGGGGGCGGGGGGCTTGTCCCTGCCTACCTGCCTTCCAACTATCCTTCATCAATGGGACCATGGGACTGTGGTAGTAGGGAGGGAGATGGAGACAGATTTGAGAGCTACCCAGGCTAGGTAGGATTTCACTGCCATTACAGCCAGATCAGAGTGGGGCTTCTCCTTGCGGCATTAACCCTACCTGGCCAGGGCTTGGCCTGCTTTCTTGGCATCCCAGGGGACATGCTACGTAAGGGCCAAACAATAAAGCCTTGGGAGGGGAGGAGGTCCACAGTTTCAAATCGGTAAAAGCTTTAGAAGCTGTTGTCCATTGGCCATGAATCTGCCAGGCATGTTCACTGCACAGTAGGGGAAAAACCTGAGTAAGACACTCTCCCACCCTTATCCTTTAACAGGAACCTCCTCACCCCGCCATCTCCCAGCCTCTACCCCATTAATCCTGCACTTTGGGCTGTTGCTATGCCCACACTGCTAGGGATGCTCTAGTCCCCTGTATTTCACTGAGATGTTGCAACACCTCCAGGTCTCCCAAGAGAAGGATAATTGATAAAAGCAAGGGAGGGAGGGAAAGGGAAAGGAGGAAGGGAGGAAAGGAGAAAATATAGCCACGGGAGGGTCTCCTTGGTGACACCAGGTTTCTTCCTGGAGCACAGATCTTAGTTTGTAATTGTGCCCTCATTAGTGTGGTCCTCTGGTTGTCAGTCACCCCAATAACCAGAAGCTGTGATTGAATGGATCCTGCCTGCCTTGCTCCCCGCCCAGCTCTTGGCACATAGGAAGCCCACAGAGCTGCTGACTGAATGAATAAAGTCTGGTTGAGCCAGATTTATGAACTATTCTGATGCCACATCAAAGTCCTTAACTGTGAAGGATGGTGGCCAAATCTTCCCCTGTGTCCACCAAGCTTCTCTTCCCATCTAGGCCTTAGGTTCTACCTGCTTTTAGAAAGGAAGCACCACCATAGTGATTGGATTTGTATGTCCAGCATGAGGATTCGGGTTTTGTGTCACACCTGCTGATTATCATAGATATTGTGGGTTGAAGTGTGTCCCCCCAAAAGGTATGTTGAAGCCCTAACTCTGGTACCTGTGAATGTGACCTTATTTTGAAACAGGATCTTTGCAGATGTAATTAATATGTAAGAAGAGGTCATACTGAAGTAGGGTGGGTCCTTAACCTATTATGACTGGTGTCCTTAAAAAAGAGAAGACAGACACACAGAGAGAAGAACAACACAGGAGGATGGAGACAGAGATTGGAGTTACGGGCTGCGAACCAAGGAATGCCAAGGATTGCCAGCAAACAATAGAAGCTAAGAAAAATGCATGGAACAGATTCTTCCCTAGATCCTTCAGAGAGAACATGGTCCTGCCGGTATCTTGATTTTCGATTTCAAACTTCCAGACCTGTGAGAAAATAAATTTCTGTTGTTTTAAGCCACCCAGCCTGTGGTATTTTGTTCCAACAGCTGAATCAAATACAATATGTATTCTCACTGCGTTCAGTGGAAATAGGGAAGAAGAATGTAGGGTGTTTGCCAAGGTCCTTGTTACCAG